CAGACAGAAAACGAGCAAATTATTCTGTCCATCAGTGGATGACAATGACAGTTGGATATTGAGCAGCAGTGATTGCCAATTGTGGGTCCAGTATTTGGCAGTATTTTTATCATGCTTCTAGAAAAGAAAATTCTATAGACATGAACTAAACTGACAAGTTCTGAGGCGAATTGCAACATTACAAACTTTAAAAAAAAAATTATTTCACAAGTATCTACAATTTGGACATAACTGCACACATCTTCAATAAGGGAATGAACTACAATCATATGAAGCACTGTGAAAGATGTGATATAATTAAAAATGATGGAAAACCATAAAATGATTGACCTAAAGATGTTGATTACAAGCATAGAAACAAAAATTACATATATAGTAGTATACAAAATAAGTAGACTTGCTTATATTCTGTAACTGTCATTGTTAATTAACTATAAAACTATTTAAAATAATTTTCAGTAAATTAAATGCAGCTGGAGTATAATAAAAAAACAAAAACAAATATTAGACGAAAAACTTTAACTTAAATAAAAAAAAAAGAAATAAAACACTAAAAATAACTAAAATAATGCTAAAAACATATTTAAAAAAGAATTTTAAAAGATCACAAAGACACAACAAAATTACTAAAACTTGGAATCATTCAAATTATTATATGAATAAAAGTAAAATAACATTGATTACTTGATTGCAGTGCGTCATTGTCATGATTTGTTTGCTTCTGTCTTCTAATCAGTGCATTTCTCTTCAGGATCATAGGTAGTGCAGTTTCATATAAAATTGCACAGCTAAATAAAATTTTGAGGAAATAAAGTAAAAAAAAAACTGAAGCATATACCATCAATTAACAACATTAAATGAGATTTTTAATTTTGGAACACAACTGTTCACTCACTAAAGTGCACTATATTCATATTAAAAAAACTATATCCAACACATTTGACTGGCAGTTGAAATGTGGATCTTCTAGAAAGTGAGCAAAGAACAAAAGAAATGTTTAAATCAAATCCACCTGCATAAATCATTAGACTGGATACTAACAACTGAAGCATTTAAAACCCAGACAGGAATAATCCTCCATCTCCAGTGGGGCGCCTAAGAGTTGGCAGTTGCAAAAGTAAATAGTCTATGTTGGCATTTGTCAAGTGTTATCAATTACAACCTTTTTTTCTTCTAAAGGGGAGATACAAAAAGCCAAGAGGAATTATTACTGAAGGCATAGGCTGTAAATTGGCCACCATAATATTCCCTAATTCTGTAAAGCCAAATGTTTCAGTTTCAGATCAACTCTGTCATCTCCTTAAAGGCTCAACAAAACCACAAGTCAACCCATACGGTTTTGACTTTCTCAGTTTCTTGATTAGGCACATTTAGAAAAAGAAGGTCTTGTAGGATCCTATCATATTGCCATAGAGGAGATGCACTTTAATCAGTCAAAATAAGCCAAATGCAAGAAGAATGGAAGGAGTTTCTCAATAGACTGACGGCTGAATGACACGGACATACAGTTACAGTACCTTTCGTTTTGGGTCATCACTCATGATAGGCACAAAATGTCCTTGACTGCTGAGAAACACTTCAGGAATCCAGTATCAGCTTTCAGCCACATGCAGCCATCTTGTACGGGGAGACGTGGAGCAACTTTATAGACGCCATCACTGCGAAAAACACATCAGTTTAAAGGTGCTTTATATGAACAAGAAGGTTATACTGTGGTAGAATGATATATCAGAAGTTAAAGTATGTTTCAACTAATGAGACATTTTTAAGCAAGAGACTACAATTTATAACAAAGCAGATCTTTGGTGGTGTTTACTTGAAGCTACTGTACTGTCAGATACAGCACTAAATTACCACAATGATTTCTGAAGGATCATGTGACACTTAAGACTAGAGCAATGCCTGCTGAAAATTCAATTTTTTTAAAATTACATAATAAAAAAAATGCATAGATAATGGATTAATTATAAGTGCTTTACAGTTACACCCTGAAAGTTATCGTGAGACTTTATTTGACATTCAACAAAATCAAGATACTACAAATAAAGCTCATGCCTAATATTTGAAGCTCGTGCATAAATAAAGACTTTAAGGAAATCAGTGTGACTATTAATTTGTCTCATTCCTGTTATACAGTACCCTTTGAATGCTGTAACTTTGTTGTGTACATTAACAGTAGTCATAATTCCTAAGAGGATAGAAATAAAAAAGCTAGAGTTAACTGTTGCCCAGTGTGGGATTGAGGATTAGCTTTAATGAGGGGGTTGAACTGAAGCTAGTTTTTAGATTTGAAACATTTTTCAAAATGATATTATCATAGAGTTTTCTGCAAATTGTAACAGGATTGAATGTTCTAGAGTGAGACAAACCAACACAAAACAAGACAGATCCACTGCTAATACTTATGTTTATGCTGTTTTCCATCCAAAGTGATGTTGCTTCCTGGAGTATGATATCATTAGGGAATTGCCTTTTGTAGTTAAGGGGATACTAGCATATTTACTCCCTGAAAAATACTGCACTTCCAGAGGCGGACAGTAATATACTTGAGTATTGTACTTGAGTACACTTTTTGAGTATCTGTACTTTACTTCAGTATTTGTTTTAATTTTTTTTTGGAAACTTATGACTTTAACTTCACTACATTTGAAAGACAAATATTGTATTTTTCACTCCACTACATTTCTATCAAGATCCTCGAAGTAGAAAGTCATTAGCAGCTTTGAAAGTCAGTGGGTGATTTTTTTTCTTCTCTAGAAACTGTCATTTTTTTCAGACAGTTTATCAGTAATCACTCTTGGGGCTACATGAAGTGATTTCCCAGCATTTTTTGAGCACTGACCAGTTCCAAATGTGATATTTACTTACAACAATTCAATAATAATAAGTTAATATTGTGGTTTATATTAGACTCAATATTGTCTGATTTTGCTAAATTGTGTACGTGAAAATATTACCTATAAAGCCACAGAAGAACTGTTGTGCGTCTCCTAATAAAACACAAAAGGTGTTTGACTGAAGCAGCACTGTAGACCATTCTGTGTGTGACATCAAAGTACAGCGTTTTGATGTCAAATAAGTCTTGCTGTTTTGCATTTGTGTTAAAGCAGTGTTGCTGTTGTAAAGTTATACAGCTACAGTTGTGTTGCTGGGTTTTAAAGCAGGTTTGATTTTTGATTTTCTTCCTTATCTGTATTTACAGCAATTTCACTGTCCACTCTGTTCAAGTGTGGATGAATGGTTTACACATAGATGTGTCCAGAGCTGTGTGAGATCACTACCATCCTGCTTTTGTGGGGGTGGGTAGGGGTGTTAAATATGAATTGTTTTTGTTTTGTTTTTTCCCCCATAGGTTTTTAACATTCTAAAAGCTCTTTATTCCAAAGATACTACAAGCTAGTCAGTGTATTAAGTAGGTGTATTGTAAGTTGCTTCAGAGGTATTGCAAGTATTACATAAAGCAATAATAAAACAGTGCATTGACATAAAAAAGGAAATTTACTTTTGGTACTCAAGTACTTTTAAAAGCAAGTACTTCTGTACTTTTACTTAAACAAAAATCTGTCTTTACAACTTTTACTCGTAGTGGAGTGATATTTGACCAGCAGTATCTGTACTTTCACTCAAGTAATGGAGCTGAGTACTTTGTCCGCCTCTGTGCACTTCTAACAAAATATGATCAGTACATCTTAGGATTCTGCATAATATATACCCAGCTGACTACCAAATGTATACTTTTGCTGATGTTTCAAACTTTTTGAGGAAGAAACGTAATGTATTGCTTATTTTATTGTATCAATGCAATCACTCCCTTTGGTAGAATTGAAATTATCTATCTCCTTTAATAAAATACTAATTAAATTTTTTTGTTTGTTTTTTTCCTGGAAGTAACAATGCTGATGAACTTGCTTTTCATTTCTTTTTTTTTTTTGCATTGCAAATGTATTTTTTTAACAAGGACACATTTCTTAACATTTTGCTAAATTTTAAATTTCATCAGTTTGACCGTACTGTAAAATCTGTAAATTTTCTTTCTTTTTCATTTTGTTATTTGCATTCACAGTGCTGTTTTGTCTTTGCAATCAATCAGTAAAGATATATTAGTTACAAAAGGCTAACAGGATGAACATATAACAGGAAACTATACATTTATTCAAATTCAAATGAGTTAAATAATTTAAAATGCACCCTATGTTCACATAATTGTGATTAAAGAAAGCTGTGTAATGTTTTAATAAAGTATCATATATTAAAGGCTGCAGTAAAACTTTACATCGTCAGGTCAAGAGATTTGAGATTTGAGAAATTGAGATTTTGCTTCGTTTTTTTCTTGTGGCATAACATTCACACAAAAATGCAAGAAGTTTATGGTATATGAGAGCACTGTTGATACAATCCTTTTCATACAATATCTAAGAAAAAATGCAAAAAGGTTGCTAGTTTATTTCATTTAGGCCATTTACCATTAAAACATTTACCAAACCACCCTTAGTTATGGCTTCCAACAGCGCTGGTCTCCTCTTCTTCATCGGGTTTTTCTTATCTCACAAAGTACTTTACTTCTACAATCCAAGTTCAATTACACCATCAGAGACACCTAAACCCAACACTACAGTATTGTGAGTGATGTGAAACACGACTCCAGGCCTCTGTCCCATTAGAGCCCGTTACTTATGGAACAAAACCATAACAAACTCACTGCATCATCATAAGCATCCTCATAAAACATTCACACCAGATGAAGCCACGAGAAACCCATTGTCCATTGGCCAGCCAGCAGTCAGCCGAGAACAGGAGACCAGTTACCATTGGCTGCTTCCTGTCAGTAGCATCTCGACTGGAAGCACGAGTTCCTGTATTGATCCGGAGTCGTCCTCACCCCTGGCAGAGGAAGGGGGATTATTTTGTTGTATCGGTAATACGATATGATGAAAAGACTTACCACAAACTCAGACCAGCGCCTTTAGTACTAAATACCAGCAGACAGCGGTTTTCTTGAGCACATTGTTATAAAATGCTTTAATAAATAGTTTGATTTATTTCTAAGAACAAACATAAATTCCACTAAATGAACCAAATAACTTCTTTTCAGAGCAATTATTCTGTACAAAATAAAAATAAAAATACAGCTTAAAAAACAAAGCAAAACAAAAAAAACTCTCCTCCAGCTCCACCCCGTTTCCCTTCCATAACGGACATTGAGCTTAACTTGCTTATTTATAATTGTTTACTTGAATTTGATTGTGAACCAGTTGTTCAGGAACAGTTTTAAACGTTTTTCATCTTCCCATAAGCAAAAAACAAAATCTTTAACATCATGATGAAAGAAATCAAATCATAGCCAGCCGTTTCTGAGGTAATCCATTTCTTTGAGCTGGTACCTCGAGTACAAATGCTTTACAACATAATTGTTCCCTTCATGAAGTTTCGATCCAACCAAACAAAAAAAAAGGAGAAAACATCATTTTGACATGACATAGCATCTTTACAAAAAACAAGCAGCATGGTTTTATGATCAGCAAGAAAGGACAGATGTGGAAAGGGAATAGGGGTTTTTAAGGAGAAGAACACACACGCCACAATACAGCACACGATCGTATAGGTGTCTAGTGAAAACAAAACCAACAATCTCTGATTATATTTTTGTTCTGACTGTGGGACGCTGTATACATCTTACAAAATCTGCCATATCAACTGGCATAAATAAAAGGAATGGTGTTAAAAAAAACAAAGAAAAAAACAATAATCATAATATTTAAATCATAATTATAATAATAAAAAAAAAAAAGTGACTTAAGTTACTAAATTCAAATATACACAGCGACTCCTTTATTATATACACATATTTACAGATCTCTTGTCTTTGTTGAATACCTTGATGGTAATATGGGAGCTGCTCTTAAGACCAGCCTCTCCTCTTTGTCGTGATCTATCGGGTCAGGAGACCCTGAAACCGAGGGGCTTGTCCGAAGGCACTTGCGACCGACTCAAAATACTGCAATACGTTTTATAAAGAGTGTTCAGCCAAGATGACAGAAAGGACAGAAAAAACAAGGCCACTTTATAGGCACTGTAGCCCTCCTCATGGACGACGAGCTCGTAAGGCAGACGTGGAAGGAGAACAGATGAACGGTTGAAGGGGGATCCCCCGAAGCCAGCGTCCCCCACCCCCCGCACGTGGTCTGCACCGAAATTGGGCCACTCGAAACAAAACCAAAAGCACAACCATTTGTAAACAACAACGTAAAAGTCTTTATACGGTTTCTCTCACGAGTTCCATAGTCCTGCTCCTAATCCAGCAGTTTTTTTTTCTCAGAAAACAAAGCAAGGCTTCTCACTGCCTCCTTATAAAGAAATAGAATTTGCTTCCTCTGTACATAAAAAAAAGGAACGAAAGAAATTTGCCACTTTATCAGCCTCAAAAGAAGTCAAAAATAAAAATAACACATGGGAAAAACTCAGTCTTTGTTTCTGAGATGGCCTTGGTCTCCTTGTCCTGCTCGTCGGAGCTCATACGCAGTGTTCTTTGTGCTCTTGGCCGGTGGTGGCGTTATTTACATTTTTACAGTTGTTGTCCTTTGGGCTGAAGCCTGTCCAGTAGGGTGCTTTGAGGGAAGGGCTGCTGCAGCCGCTGCTGCCGCTGCTCCGCATGGTGCAGATCAACCCGTTCTTGGTCCGCTCTGCAGGTTTAGAGTACTTTTGGATGGGATGCTTGCCCCCCTCTTCCACCAGCTCCAGCTCTTCCTCCTCCATCTCCTCCTCGTCCTCCCCGCTTGTGCAGGTCCGATCCGGGGAGCCCATGAGCTTGGTGCGCTCGTACTGTGCGTCCCGGTTGTCCTTGTGCTGCGGCCGCGTCACAGGCCTCAGTGGTTCCCACTGGTTGTTGACGCTCTCTTCCACGGGCACGCGCTCTCGCCTCTCGCGCTCTTTTCGCCGCTTACGGGTCCACCACACGCAGACGATGACGCAGAAGACCAAGAGTACGCACAGGATGACGCACAACACGGGCACCAGATAGTCTGTATGGAAAGAGAATCAAGTCAGACGTTGCAAATCTGGGATTCATGCCAAAAATATTGAACAAAAAGGAGGGATGTATGACATAAAAACTATATTGGTTATTGGCCGATGTAAGTCAATTTATCAGTAAAGGTCATTAGTGGATATTTAGATTTCTGTCATTTAATTGTGGACACTCATCATAGTGTGTATATATATTAATAACATAAAATAGTGCGTATATATGATAAATATTAGTGCTGTCAAATGATTAATCGCATCCAAAATAAAATATTTTGTTTACATAATGTGTGCACTGTGTATATTTATTATGTATATATAAATACACACGCATGTATACATTTCAGAAAAATATGTTATGTTTATATATTAAATATATTTATATATAATATAAATTATATGAAAATAAATATATACATGTAAATATTTTCTAAATATATATTGTATGTGTGTATTTATATATACATAATAAATATACACCGTACACACACATATTAAAGCAAAATAATTGAAGCAAAATAATAGAATAGAATAGAATATAATAAACATACTATTTTGTATTCACAATAATAAATATAATAAACACTAAAATAATTATATAAATTTCATTATAAATTATTTTGAAGATCAGAGGCCACTTAAACATTCATTAACTAATGCTAAGACTTATTTTAGATTTTTTTTATTAGACAAAATAGTATATTTTCAAAATTGGCAATAGCATTACACAATCAAAATGAGGGCGAAAAAGAGCAAAACACTTGGCTTTAATTCCTATAGGTTTCAAATATTATTCTTTTTTTTTTAACACATTTATAATTGCCTTAACCAAAAAAATCATTAAGTTTGTCCCATCATTCTCGTTAATGTATCGCTGTGGCGTGACCGATGACTGTGGAGGAGTTCTATGACTGTCACACAGGTTTATGGCCTCCGGCCCACAACGGCTGGATCCTCTCAGTACCCTTCCTCCTGTGACTCACAAAGACATTTAAGCTGCACTAATTGGTGGAGATGGGGAATTGACACTCGGTCGGGGGATGAAGGCTGGCTTTAGCCTTGAGGCCAGTTGGCCCCTGCTCTACTCACCCACTGGCTGGGACATGACCGGCATCTCCACTTTGACCTCGATGACGGCAAGCATGACGGTGCTGTTGTGCCGCTTGGACAGCGTGCTGACTATGGTACTAGCTGCCTCCTGGATCTGACTGTGGTTAGGCTGCTCGTCCTGCTGGAATGACTGCAGGAGAAATAGCGGGGATTAAAAATATATTCGATTGCATTCCAAAAATTCCAAGTAAAAACCACTTACATAGGAACAATCTATAATTATTTACTGTAAGTGTGAGGTTTTGAGGCGTTGCTGTGATGACACTTGACTATGCTGTATTTGTTGATCTTCTACATCCAAGTTTATTTCTCGTAAACCAAAATATATGGTTGTGGTGGAACCAGTGGGCAATAGATAGTTAAACCACGCCACAACTCAAATGTTTCAAATTTGTTTACATCATACAATTTTGATATGATTTTGATAGGAGAACAAAAAGAGACTTGTAATCAATCTATGACAATACGCTCAATAAAATAACTAAAACGAGAGCAGTCTTTATCCAAATAGCAGTAGACTCAATCGTTTCAACTCTATTTGGTTTTCAACATGCAAAAACCTGCAGCTGTTCAAAGTTCCTGCCTACAGGTTCCATTTTGATGAGTCAGGCCAGTTAAACACGGGCCTTCAGTTAATGACTTGTTACAACACTGCAGGGATTTAGTGTAATCTGATCGAGGATAAAGGATGCATTTGTAGGTAACCACTATTTGTAAGTTACTTCCATAAGGCAAAATGTTTCATTGCACGCAGGAAACACGGCTTCAAATTACACAAAACTTGCCTGGCAGCACAAAGATATTAATTTTCATATCCTTACCCAAGTATGTATTTTTTTGTTATTTCAAGGATTGTTTCAAGATTATTTGGTTGTGCAACATTTCATTTTCTGAAGACAAAAGTGTATATCTTAAGGCTGTGAGAGATGCACTGAAGCCCGGTTCCAGCGCTCTCTGTGTGGGTGGAGGGAATGCTGCAATGCAGTACGGCCCGCTGCTGGTCAGTCAACTGAATCTCATTATAACATAATGGGCTGGTTTGAAGAGGAGGCTGGTTGGCATTGCTCTGGGCGTCTGGGCATTTTGAGAAACTGCGCTCGACTCGGTGAGGAAATCAAATTTGCATCCATTAACAGATCTATGCAATGAGTATCTAGGACCCCCATGGTTTTGACTTTCTATTCCACTGATAATAGATCTTAGGGGCCTACACAACACTGCTGTGTGAAGGGTACAGGCGTGCAAAGGACTCATGAATTTAAAATGTGCAAGCGCATAAAGCTCTCCTTAGGGTCTTCAAAATGTACTTACGATGGCCACCTCTACTGCATCTTGGTTTTTGTAGGAGAGGTCACAAAGAACCAACAGCGCGTGATCTTTCGCCAGGCTACGCGTGGCAGGCATATACCTCAGCTCTGAGCAGACGTTCTCCACAGTCGTTCCCTAGAAGGCATAGTGTGTACTTAGAGGAATATTTCAGAAAAAACACTATTGGGAATCATAATGCAATTACGTTAGGAGAATGATTAAAAAGGTATGGTACCATATAACATTACCATGTGTTTTTTGACATGGTGGCCTGGTAATATCATATTTTCTGGAATTTTTAGACATATTTGGACAAGTACAATACCAAAGTACTATGGTATTATGATATTTTTCAGAAATATACCAACGTTTCTTGAGATAAGGCTATGGTAATATGAAAGTAAAGTTACTGCTATGTCCTTGTGATCACGTTACCCTGGTAATACCATGATTTTCTGGACACAATACCGTTGAAAATTAGAAGTCGGTAAGATTTTGTACGTTTCTTATGCTCACCAAGGAGGCATTTATTTGATCAAATCTACAGTAAAAACTGTAATAATGGGAAATATTAATGTAATTGATTAATTTGATAACAAAGCTGAATTTTCAGCATCATTACGCCAGTCTTCAGTGTCACTTGATCCTTCAGAAATCATTCCAATATGCTGATTTGGTGCTCAAGAAACGGAGAAAGGAGACAGGAGAACTGTTGAAACAGTTGCTAAATACTTTTGTGGAAAAACTGCTGTGTCTTTTCAGAATTCTTTGATAAACAAAGTTTAAAAAACATTTATTTGAAACAGAAATCTTTTGAATGTATTCACTGTCACTTTCGATCAATTTATTGCCTGTAGTCAGTAGTGTGTCTCGTGAATTGGACGCAGACAATGACAATAACAAATGTTTTTTAACGTATCTCATAGACTATGGCAATGCAATGGTATTACCATCATTGTGTTATGGTACCACCACAAGGTTTTTGTGTAATGGAACAAAACACCAACTTATAGGTGAATACTTACTGTGGGTAATTTGTCCCTGTTGAATATAAGGGTGATGCGAGCACAGCTCTTGTCCAGGTAGACTGAGTTGGGCTCACATTTTGTTTGGAGGGTTGGGGCGGCATCAGGGCTTGAACAAAACCCCCACTGGTGGCAAGGGGGAGAGAGGCACGTCAGGAAGTTGTGCTCCAGGCATTCACGACCTCCTGGACAGGATTGAAGCTCTCGCCCTAGCGTCCCTGGCAACAGACACGGCCGCCGGCCACAGACCACCTGAGAAAGTGTCATTCACATGTTAATTTATTTCAATAAATAAAAAGAGACAAAAGACTTGTTTTTGACATGTTTTCTTCAGACACTTACCTTGGTGCACTCCACTTTGCCATTGACACATTGACAAGTGTTGCATTCTTCCTCCCAGCGGCTGCCATGCGGGAACTGAAGTCCAGCATAGTGACACGTCTTCCCAACGCCAATGACTGCACCACAACATAAACACAAACACCATAAGACTGGGGCCAATTCTAATTTAGGAGCAGATCCCTTTCCTGTCTGGAATGATTTAAGTCACATGATGCCAGGTCAATGCTCCTACGAATGATGCCGTCTGCCTTTCAGGTCGTTCACTCCTTAGGAACCATACTCCCGGTTTAGTGGCTTTTAGCTCATCTATATGCTAGTGTGGCAAATCACCATATTATAATGATTTCTGAAGGATCATGAGACATTGAATAATGGCTGCTGAAAATTCAGCTTTGCCATCACAGAAATACATGACATTTGTCATCACCGATAGCCTCGTGGGCAGCGTGTCGACATGTAGCGACGTTGCGCTTCGGGCATCCCGTGTTCGAGTCCCGGCTCGCGGACCTTTCCCGATCCCATCCCCCCTCTCTCTCCCACTTCGCTTCCTGTCTTACTACTATCCTATCAATAAAACGCCAAAAATAAGTCTTTAAAAAATAATTAAATAAAAAATACATGACATTTGAAAACATTAAAATAGAAAACAGTTGTTTTATATTTGTAGAAATATTTCACAATATTACTATATTACTGTATTTTTTATCAAATAAATGCAGCACTGGTGAGCATAAGAGACTTCTTTCAAAACATTTAAAAAATCTTACCAACTCTGGACTTTTGAACAGTAGTATATGCATTTCAAATGTACAGTGTAAAAATATTGATGACTTATCCGGCACTAGAGTGATTTTTGTCCAATCAAGCGCTCTCTAGAGACAGAATGTCTCACCTGCTTCCGACTAACATGTAGAAATAATGTTCATGGCTGTGACGTAAATAAACCATTCAGGCTATTTTTGAGGCTCTCACTAAGTAAAGCACATGATTTTATAGGGTCTTTAAGTTCCATTTCTCAATATCAGCAAGCTAAGAGATAAAAAGAGATTGACTTGATTAAACAATAACTCTTACACTCTTGGCATTGAGGTCCGGTGCGACCGAGTGGGCAGACACATCGGAAGCCATTGATCTCATCCACACAGGTGGCACCGTATGCGCAGGGTGACGACTGGCACTCATCAATGTCTGGTGAAGCAAAGAGAACATGCATTCGCATCAATACGTCTACTGCCCAGGGCAGAAATGTCAAATGGCTAAAACTGTGATTTGAAATCAATACATAAAGTGTCAGGATTGATGGTGTTCCCATGGCTGCACCTCAGAAAATGAGGCCGGGGAAATGCATGGAATCCTTAAAGAGTAAGTCAAAGCCATCAATGGACACAAGAGACACAAGGAGAGGAATTTTTCCACTGGTTGAATAATTTATCTCCTCTGTTTGTTTGTGAGCCATGGCTAACCTTTGACCCCTGAGGAGGTCAAAGGCCACGGATGCTCGGTAATCCACCAACACCCTCTCTTTCTACACATCCCTATTCTTTCCTCCTCGAGATACTCACTGATACGACAGTCTGGTCCAGCGAATCCAGGGGCACATTCACAGCGGAACCAGTTCACCCCGTCCACGCAGATTCCTCCATTATAGCTGCAAGGAGACGCGAGGACAATGAGGTTATCAGGCCAAAGAGACACCTTCGCCCCAGTGATTGACATAATACTTCAAATATACATGCATACAAGTGGAAAGGCAGGAAAAAGGGGGAAGAGAAGAGTGAAAGAGAGATGGACGAAGAGGGATGCAGGATACCAGCACCTTTCAGATGCAAATCCCCACAGTGGCTCCTTGCTGGGATCCCCACCCCCTACTCCCGCCCCACCTCCCAAATCCCTTGCTCCCAGGTCAGCGATGAAGAAAGGCAGGAGGACAGAGCAGGCTGGGAGAAAAAGAGCCTGTCCGTCCCCTCCTCCCCTCACCGCTGGGGGTGCTCTTTTAGGGCCATCGGCTCCATTGTGGTCCCCATTAAAACCAGCCCGGGGTCTCCTGAGCTGTCGGATTTAGGGGTGATTTAAGGACATCTTCTACAGTCTTTACAACCAGCGTCCCCCCTTTGAACCCCTCCCCTCGGTGCATCCGCTCGCAGAGAATAGGGGTTAGCGGGGCAGGAACAAGGGGGTGGAATAGGGCAGAAAGCCACATTAGAAGGGTTATTCCTAGCCGTCTATGTTGTACAGGGAAGGGGAGGGCCGCCCCAAACAGAGAGCACAACAGATCTACCAGCGTCCCGGGGCAGAATAGAGTAAATAAGAAGGGGGACAACTGCAGAGCCACAGAGCCTGCAGAGTCTTCTTACCAGGGGTGAGGGTTGCAGTCGTTGATGTCTGCGAGGAATCAAAAGAGAGGAAGAGGGAGTCAATGCAATACATTTGTGCATCAATCAGATGTAATTTAACACTTTTGTGGATTTTGATGTTTGCTTTCAGTGGTATGCAGACATGCACTGGCAGCTAAATTATGAATGGCGGAATTCACTCACTCTGAGTGCAGGTGGGCCCCTCCCAGCCGTCTTTACAGATGCAGGTGAACGTGTCACCACCACCCACGCATGTTCCTCCATTCAGGCAGGGGCTGGACGCGCAAGTGCTGTTCTTTGCTGAAGTAGAAAGACGAAATGGAAAAGTTACAGCAAGTGAGCAAGCGATTCTTTAGACCAGTCTATGACAAATTAGGGTCTTTCAGGGGCCAAAAGCTAGGGGGTCTGAAGAAAATGTCAGAATATGTTATCAAATCAAAAAACTAATTATTTTGCATTCATTTTCTGTACAGACATTTAAAAACAAATTTAATTACATGAAATGAACCAGCTCAAAAATGAATAGCAATATTTGTTTTTAAGCAAAAAAGACAAAGATAGACGACCGACTGTGTACTTTTATATACATTGTGTTAAATAAAAAAAGCAACCATGATACAATATAAAACTGAAAATAAGTATATTACTAATTATATTAGATGTTTATTAGAAAAGTGTTTGGGAACTGATATTTATGCACAAACACACCTAATATATGTATTTTTTATATGCATATTATTCATTAAAGTAATGTGCCATTTAATTATTTGGAAAAATATTTTGGATTCATTTTCTGTATAGGCATTTAAAAAAAAGTTTATATTTTTCAATCTCTGAACAAAGTTAAGAAGCAATAATATAAATATATAAATATAAATGCATATAGATGATAAAACTTTTATCATTTTAAAATGATAAAACAACACCGAATGAATGAAGAGTTACACTTTATTTTAAGGTGTCCTTTTTACAGTATAATTATACATTTAAGTACTGAGTAATATTTATTAACTTCATGTACTTACTATATGGTTAGGGTTAGGATTAGGGTTTGGCTTAGGGTTACTTGAATGTAATTATGCATAATTAATTGTTATTATAATAGTAAGTACATGTAACATGTAACAAGGACACCTTAAAATAAAGTGTTACTGAATGAAAGACAATTTATATAAGTGAAAGTGAAATAACGTGTGGCCAAGTATGGTGTCCCATAATCGGAATTTTACCCATCCAAGTGCACACACACACAGTAGTGAACACACACACACACACGGAGCAGCGGGCAGCCAATGCAGTTGGGGGTTTGGTGCCTTGGTCAAGGGTCTCACCTCAGTTGTGGTATTGAGGGTGGAGAGAGCACTGGACATTCACTCCCCCCCACCAATATCTCTGTCGGACCTGAGACTCGAACCCGCAACCTTCAGGTTACAAGTCCGACTCTCTATCCATTAGGCCACTATTGCCCCCCAAACATATAATTTAAATCAACAATATAAAACTGACTATACAGTGTGTATAATGAGCACTGAGAATGCAAGATTGCAAAACTGACTGAGCGTGCTGAGAGGGACTGATGTAATTTGTAATGCTTCATGTAAGTGATAGGAGTCTCTGAATAGTTTGAGCTTATGTTTTTGGTTCAAAATGTCTAAGAAACCCGACTGTGATTAAAGTGAGTATGAAAACTGGACTTTCACAGAGGTCTACTCACCGGTGTTGCATGTACTTCCTCCCCATCCAGGAGGGCAGGCGCAGCGGAAAGTGTCTCCGTGGTCATAGCAGGTCCCTCCATTACTGCATGTGGTGGCATCACATTGACTTTCACCTAAAGACACAAACAACGATTGAAAATATTACCAGTCACTTGACATATGCAGTTAAACCACATAATAGGAAAAGAGGAAGTACTTTGACATAAAACAAGGAGAGGTAACTCACGTGAATGACAGGTCTTTCCTTTCCAGCCATTGGCACATTCACAGTAGAAGTCATTGACCAGGTCCACACAGTGGCCGCCATTCTTACAGGGGCTCCGACTGCACTCATTCACATCTGAGTGCAGAAACACAAGTGAAAAAGGTAAGATACTGAATGTAAAGAGGATCAAGATGATGAGGAAGATGAAGATGGATACTCACTGAGGTCGCAGAGGTCACCCTCCCAGCCGTCCGGACAGAAGCACTGGAAAGAGCTGATCCCGTCGATGCAGGTGCCTCCGTTTCGACACGGATTGCCCACGCAGTCGTTTACATCTGGATAGTCGTTATAAAACATTTCCATGACCATCAAGATTTTTGAACAAAATGTACATAGACAATGGGGTTCAAAAACCACACAAATCAAGATTGATCATGTGAACTTTGTACAAATGGTCAGATGTTATTGCTTCCATTGATGCCCAAGATGCTATTTGGATTTATTTCAATATAATATTTTCAGCTTAATTGGCTTTGTGGCCATTTATGACAAATACATTTTCAAATATACTAAGCAACTAAGGAATTTAAGTTTATTTATAAAATTATTAAATCAATAATTATGACTACTAATAAAAGAAGTGTCATTTATTTTAAAATTTGTCTTAATTTTCAATTTGCGAGAGGGGATGCTAGTTGTAAAGAATTTGAAAAGTTTGGCTTAAAATAGTTATACAGCACAACAATCTGCTAAAATTGCTTAAAATGTAATGTCAATTACCCATCTATTCTGTAAGGATAAACTAAAATAATCGAAAAGCAAACAAACAAGGATGAACAGGCGTCACATGAATATGATTAAAAAAGGAAAAATGGTAAAACAGTAAAGATGACTCACTCTCGTGACAGTAAGTTCCTGTAAAGCCCAGCTCACAGGTGCAGGTGAAGTTGCCGCCTGGCTGGCTGATACAGCGGCCATGAGGACCACACACATTAGAGTTGATGTGTCTCACACCCCCATCTGAGCTGTTACTCGCCACAGCAATCGTACAGCTGTCAATCACTGGAAATGAGAAAACAAGACAAGCGGGAATAAGATCAGATGGCTGCTAAGCTGGACTATTATGCACTACTGTACAAAAGTAGGTCATCTTTGGCTATTGCATCTCGGTCGGCAGCAGAACAGGAAGGGCAGTACCTTGGCAAGGGGTTGTCTTGCAGTGGTCCTTGCGGTTTTCACAGGTCTTGCCCTCGTAGTCTTCAGGACAGGCGCAGTAGAAGTCACCCAGCAGGCTGTAGCATGAAGCCTTGTTCTGACAGGGGTTCGGTTTACAGGGGTGAGACAGACTCTCCACCTTCAAATGAGACAGGGAGCTTGAGTTAGACCAGTCTTCTTAAACTATAGTGATAAACAGTCAGGTAAGCTGTAGAAGGCTCCCATAAGCCTACAGCTAAAGGAGACAGCACTATTATACTCACACAAGAGACCAATCAAAACAAACTGTGCTGCTAAATTTAGACATCCTTCCGCTCTTACCGAGCATATTCAACTAGGACGAGGAACACTTTTGCACATCTAGTTCTACTTCTACCTCGACTTGGCCTTGTTCTGGTAAATATTCTTAAGAAATTAATTTCTAAATTCACACAGAAACTCATAACTCTTACTATATTCTTTTAATATGTTAACATATTAAATATAATCTCTACATAATTTTATATACATTTAAAAAAAAAATCTTTAAATGGCCCTATGCCATGTAATTATTTCATATGAGCTTAATTATAAAATTATTAAATCAATAATTATTACTATGAATACTAAAACTATTAAAACACAAACATTTTGTTATGTTATGTTATGTTATACACAAAAGTGGCTTTAGAAGAGGCTTTTCTGACCGCAAGTCAATCACTGGTCTTCAGTTCACAGCAATCTATCATTTTGCAACCGAGTTTGCCAATCTGTCTGAGGTAGACTTAGGACACGTTCTGTTCACATGTGCTTTTTGTTGACTACGGTCTAGGACACAAGCAGACGGACGTCTTTACCCATTGCATCATGTCTCTTGCCATGGGTGCCACATTTTTAGGATGCGGTGTCAAATTCTCTATGGTTCAAGGGTATTATTATTAAGGTTTTTTTTTATAATACAATTTTCGAAATTAATGTGTTAAATTGACAGCCAAATACAATATTATTTTTTAGTGAACACTTTTAAAATAAAAAGTTATTTTAAATTAACACTTCACAATATTACTATTTTTTTATCAATAAATGCTGCCTTGGTTAGCATAAGATACTTCTTTCGAAAACATAAAAATCCTACCAACCCAAAACGTTTGAATAAAATAAGATAAAATAAAATAAGGAAAACTCACTACAAACACCTGTTCCAATCACGTTTACGGATTAATGTAGGTTTCTGCAGCTATGACCCCCTCAATATTCCAACTTTCCATTTTTCTCACAAATGCATTTCTAGGGAGATGAACCTTTGTTGGAATGCAAACAACCTCTCTAAAGTACACATCATACCAGCTGCCATGTAAGGTGTTAGTTCGTACTATATCCCTGTTCTCCCGAGCTCCAAGACTGCTAAATTTATTTTATTAGGGATATACATTGTATATACTGGAAGCCGAACGCCTGCACAAAGCACTTATTCACAGTCAGTGATGTAAGTGGAGCGTCTGCAAACCAGACTGTATCAAGATACATTAAACTGCTAGAGCAGACACATGTAAGAGATAATCAGCCATCTGTACCGGATCCGAAGAACAAACCCAGCTGGATGTGTTTCATACAGTGGTATGTTGGTAGTCAAAACTGGTAAACATATAATTTTAAAATATGTATCTGAAACTTACTATCAGAAATAAAGAGATCTTAGAAGATTTTATATAGCTGTTTGAGAATTTTACTGCATCTAGTAGTACATCACAGATTTATTGTAATGACTTACAGATCTGATCCCATATCAAAACATGTTAGATGTCAATACTGGACCAAAGCTTTATATGTAGCCTCATGTGCACCTGCACTGAAAACAGCTCTACCAGATCAAAAGCTTTCCTAGTATAGTCTCACTTCTCCAAGAGACTGCAGACGGCAATGATCTAATGTGAGCTCATGGCATGCCAGGCATGAATATAACGTGAAAATCAAGGCCTTCTCTTTCCCGGGCTGATTGTGGGCAGGCGGCCAGGAGGGCAAGAGAAGAGTTGCCTCATTCACTACAACTTATTTTTAGTCTGCACAGTAAGATGAGACTGGCTCAGGACCAGCTTCCAGCACCTCTATGGAAGCCCATCTTTAGCCTGCCACTAGACTTAAACTGGCTCCAGACCAGTAATAATGGCCACATGAAGAAAAAAATACTCCAGCCCTCCACCCAAACCCTACTCTAGTTACCCTGGCGCACCTGTGGCAGAATAGCAGGCTTGATCTGCCTTACACCAAGGCTTTAAACATGCATTCATGCAACGGCAAGGGTACCGACCAATTTAGCCATGCCAAATGAGATTGTGAGCAAAGCATGAATGGAGAAGTGACCATCTGCAGTACTAAATGTCATCTATTAATCAAGACTGAGCCCCACTGTTTCCATTAAATGTTTATAAACCAACAGATGCAGTCTGACTAAACCTGAATCATCGTCATTTCCTGTCTGCTTTACCTACTATTTGTAAAATAAAACAGGGAAAAAGGCAAAGGCAAAAATTAAATCAGAGCACAAACAAAACAAAACAAAAATAATACAATAAAAACAGCTGGGTATAAAACACAACAAAACAAAATTAAAAAACATCTGGGCATATAACACAACAAAGCAAAATTAAAAAACATCTGGGCATAAAACAAAACAAAAATTAAAACATCTGGGCACAAAACAAAAACATCTGGGCACTACAAAACAAAACAAAACCTGAAAAAAAACACATCTGGGCACCACAAAACAAAAACAAAACAAAACCTGAAAAAAAACGAACAAAAAACAACAACAAAAAAAACACATCTGGGCATAAAACAACAAAGCAAAACAAAAAACATTTAGGCATAAAATAAAACAGAAAAAAACATCTGGACACAAAACAAAACAAAAATTAAAACATCTGGACACAAAACAAAACAAAAATTAAAACATCTGGACACAAAACAAAAACATCTGGGTACCACAAAACAAAATAAAACCAAAAACAAAACCCGAAAACAAAACAAAACCATCTGGGCATAAAACAACAAAGCAAAACAAAAAACATTTAGGCATAAAATAAAACAGAAAAAAACATCTGGACACAAAACAAAACAAAAATTAAAACATCTGGACACAAAACAAAAACATCTGGGTACCACAAAACAAAATAAAACCAAAAACAAAACCCGAAAACAAAACAAAACCATCTGGGCATAAAACAACAAAGCAAAACAAAAAACATTTAGGCATAAAATAAAACAGAAAAAAACATCTGGACACAAAACAAAACAAAAATTAAAACATCTGGACACAAAACAAAAACATCTGGGTACCACAAAACAAAATAAAACCAAAAACAAAACCCGAAAACAAAACAAAACCATCTGGGCATAAAACAACAAAGCAAAACAAAAAACATTTAGGCATAAAATAAAACAGAAAAAAACATCTGGACACAAAACAAAACAAAAATTAAAACATCTGGACACAAAACAAAAACATCTGGGTACCACAAAACAAAATAAAACCAAAAACAAAACCCGAAAACAAAACAAAACCATCTGGGCATAAAACAACAAAGCAAAACAAAAAACATTTAGGCATAAAATAAAACAGAAAAAAACATCTGGACACAAAACAAAACAAAAATTAAAACATCTGGACACAAAACAAAAACATCTGGGTACCACAAAACAAAATAAAACCAAAAACAAAACCCGAAAACAAAACAAAACCATCTGGGCATAAAACAACAAAGCAAAACAAAAAACATCTGGGCATAAAACAAAACAAAAAAGAAAACATCTAGGCACCACAAAACAAAACCAAACACAAAACGAAACATGCTATCATGCTGAACAATACTGACAAAAAGTTTACTATAAAAACACTATAAACAGTAAAGATTCTCACCTCACAGAGCATCCCTGCATAGTTTGCCGGGCATTCACAAACAAAGCTGTCCAGAATGACATGGCAGCGGCCGCCGTTTTGACAAGGACCACTGGCACATTTGTTCCTTGAGACTTCACAGTGCAAGCCCACAAAACCTGGAGGACACTGACAGTGGTAACCTCCATGAACCAGCTCCTGCACAGACACAAATAAAATGACAATATAAATAACACAAATATTTGATATGCTATAGTAAACCAAGAATTGTAAAGGCTATACCTTGCATGTTGCTCCATTCTGGCACTGTCCATGGCAGCCATTGAGATCTGCAGTCATGGGCAAAGTAAATGAAGCAATTAATCAATGGCTAAGTGGAGGAAATCAGGACAGCAGTTAGGGGAAGCTGAAGATGTGCAATTAACTCGAATTAGATGAGCTTGGTGAGTGCGCTGAAGATGGAAATGTTAGTACAGTCAACATAAACGTGAGGTACAACCAATAACCCAGCATGCAACAGCAGTTGAATCCCAAGACAAAATATACAGTGTGCAGAGCCCCGCAGGATATCAAGTGTCCAAAGAGGAAACCCTGAGTGCCACTATAGTGTATGCTGTTAAAGATGGAGGAAAGGAGAGGAGAGGAGCATGAGGAGATACTGACTGATGTCACAGTTCTGTCCGGCCCATCCTTGAAAGCAGTCACAGTGATATCCACCAATCATGTTTTTGCAAGAGTGAGCATTTACACAAGGCTTCCCCATACATTCATTTGCATCTGTGAAAGTGAGGGAAAGAAAGAGTTGGGAGATTTTGTAGACAATTGGTAGATTGGGAGATTGAAGAGAAGGAGATGGGAAGTGTAGAGTAGCAGGAGAGGGGCAGAGAAATCAGAGATCTCGTTGTGTAACCCCACCACCATTAAGCCCATTGAACAGTCTGCTGGCTTGAAACTCTAACAGTTCCAAGGATGCCAGTCTGCTTAACTTTCTGGTCAATGACCATTACACAGCCAAAAAAAAAAAAAAAACACCTTTATCAGTATATTTGTCTTGTTCTATGAGAAAAAAAAATCTAAACATCCTTAAAACAAGATAATTTTACTAAAGATATTAAGACTTGTATTCAAAAGATGTATCTTAAATGACCCTACTGCATAATAATATAATACAATATAAATATAATATAATTTAAATTAATTTAATTTAAACCCTACCAAGTTTGAGATTTTTTATATTTTGGAAAGAATTCTGACCAAAGCTACATTTATTTGACCAAAAATGGAAAAAGTAATACTACCACAATTTAAAATATATATATTTTAATATATTTTAAAATGTAATTTAATGTGATGACAACGCTGCATTTTCAGCAGCCATTCTGTCTTCACTGTCACATGATCCTTCAGAAATCATTCTAATTTGCTCAAGAAACATTTCTTATTAGCCATGTTGAAAACATTTATTTTAGAAACTAAGATCAATTTTTTTCCACAGCTTCTTTGATGAATAGAAAGTTAAAAAGAAAAGCATTTATTTAAAATATTAATATTTTGTAAATTACTTTACTGATACTTTAGACCAATTTAATGATTCCCTGCTTATGAATCCCTGCTCTTAAATAAAAACTCTTACTGACCCCAAACCTTTAAAGTGTGTGTGTGTGTGTGTGTATATATATATATATATTTATATATATATATATATTTATTTATTTAGGTTTTGGAGAATATTCTCTGAAAACAATTATTATATTATTAATAAAATAAAATTTATATGAAAATAAAATAAATATAAATATTTTCTAAAATGTTCTTCTCAAACAGATCTTGTTTTAAGCAAGTTTTAAAAAAAATTACTGAAAAAACAAGACAAAAGTACGTAGAAAAAAAGATTTTTTGCATCGTAAACTAAGGGTCCACTCGTAATCACCCCTCCTTCTGCTCATCTCTCCTCTATTAGCCTACAGCAGGTGACCAGTCAGTTCAGGGGGCTATGACTCTTTTGACTTTGCCATGAAAAAAAACTCGTGCTTATTAGGTGTTTAAATATTCATCAGAGGCCCCTAGTGAGGTGCGCTCTGCTCCCCTGCACACCTGTCCTCCAAGAAACACGACTCCCCATCATGCTCAGGCCTGGCTCTTGTGAGTGAAACCCAAGCTGAAGGCTAAGGTTCGAAGCGTAAGATGAGCAGCCCAACTCCTGTTCCCACCCCACGCTTGTTTACAGGTCACAATCCACTTCCTTTCACATTCATCACTTCCCCTGACGAGGGCTGCACACTATTGTGAGCAAAAGGATGATGGAAACTCCTGTGGCGCCTGCAATGCCATCTGATCTAGTCTTAGATCCAGGTCTAAGGCTGGCCCTCCTTGTTACATACAGTGGGGAAAAAAAGTATTTAGTCAGCCACCAATTAGCTATTACAGGAGTTACATATTATGGGATGTTTTCAGTTACATGCATATAAACATTCAAACTGGCCAATTTTGCACCCAGCATTTGTGTGCAGGTTATTCACCGCCCACCACACACACACACACTGCAGATACACATACTAGAGAAAGAATCAGTTACATTGATTAAAAATGATACAAAGTAGGGCAAGCCATTATGATGTGTAATGGAAACGTGTCAACATATCTGCTTTGTTTATATTTTGCAGCATATTCCCAGAATTTAAATGAAAATCCATCATAAAGCAGAACGCATATCATGCACTCCGAAAACAATAAATGTGAACCGTTTAGATGATGAATTGCTTCCTGTGTCGGCAAGGTATGTCCCAATCTGGTGCAATAATAAACGATTCAAATGATGTACAGTCACACGAGTGCAAGTATATGGATGTTTCATAATGGCTTCACACATATCCAGTCATATTTTCACATATTATTGTTTTTAATAACTTGTTACTCTACGTAATGTGAAGCAGTGTTTGTCTTCTCCTTTGCATCATTCAAATAAATTATGCATATTATAATAATATAATAATATAATAAATATAATATAATATAATATAATATAATATAATGGTGGCTATGGAGAAAGGGCAGGAGAGCGTGTCAGTGTGTTCATCAGAAAGAGCAAAGGCTTTTCTTTATGCAAGACAGTAACACGATTAGAGTTCGATATAATCCAGGTCGCCAGATTAGCTGCTATTAGAGCACAAATCGTTACAGTTTTAATACTGGCACAAAGAACTGAGCAGCAGCCATTTGAAATTTTGAAGAAAACAGGAGGAAACAAAACCGAGAAATTCCTCCCTCCTTTCTTCTCGTTTTAGTCTTATACATATATTGTGGTGAATGGGGTGGAGCCGGGTGTGTAAAAGGGTCAGACAGGCAAGTGAAGAGGTGGGGGGAAAAACCTTTATGGGCGAAATGGTGGGGGGCGAATGTGCAAATTCCAGCAGGGGACCCTGCTGTTGCTATGACGATGGAAACACAGCCCCATATGTGTGGTGGATGAGACCGAAGAGGTAGGATGTGGAGGGAGCGATGAAGAGTGTGAGAAATACCAAAAATTAAAACACTGGGCATCCTGGAGGTGAGAAACACATTTGCAACCGATTAAATACGAGCTCTGTGGCGCTAAAGCGGGATGCTTTGTGGAACGGGAGGGGTGGAGAAGGAAGGGCGGCCCATGACACACTGCGTTCTCAATTTGTGAAGCCAAATGCTGGTTCAAAGTGAAGACAGATTATGCAAATCCCCCCTGTCTCAGTGATGGGTATCACCAGACTCTAATCCGGGACCCTTAAGAGCTCAAGCTATGCTCGCCATGCGATGGGACCCCGCTGTGCTGCCAAGATCCAAGACCAGCTTCCCCTGCCATATACCTGACACATCCCAGCATGACAAGCAGCCAAGCGGCAACTGGCAACAGCATCTGGACACATGTTGGGGAGGGGACGGGTGTCTGTGCTCTAGTCTAGGTCTGTAACTAGGTCTCCAGACGGAACAGATTGAGCCTGGAAAAAGACAGACGGGAAGGTGCACGGAAGGTTTACGCACCTTTAGCACAAGTGGGTCCCTCCCAGCCTGGTGGACACTGGCACTCAAACCCGCTCGGGACTTCGTGACACGTGCCACCGTTCGCACAGGGGTTGGAAACACATGCATGTTCAGCTGCAAAACACAACAATGCATCATAAATACAGACAGAAAAGACACTGAAAAAATGCCCTGACTTTATGATTTGTTGCTCCATCCATCCATCCATAGAATTTTCCATCTAATTATCAATTTATCAATTTATAAATCAATCCATTTATCCATCTATCCATTAATCCTTGCATTCAATTATCCATAAGTTCATCCATTTATCAATATCATGTCATCTAACATTTTTCCATCCATCCATTTATCAATCTATTTATCCATCCATCCATCCCAACATCAATTCATCCACCCATTTATTAGTCTATACATTCTTCCATTTATCAATCAATCAATCCATCCCAACACCACCCATTCAGCCCAACATCCACCCATAATTTTTTCTACTCATACACCCATTCATCTATCATTTTTTCTATTCATCCATCCATCAAATTTTCCATTTAATTATCTATTTAGCAATCTTTCCATTTATCAATTTATAAACCAATCAGTTTATCAATCTATCCCTTTATCCATCCATCTATTCATTTATCCATGCATTGATTTATCTATTTATTCCATCCATTTATCAGTCCATCGTTTATCCATCGTTTTTCTATTCATCCACTCATCCATCCATAATTTTTTCTATTTATCCATCCATATATCCATTGCATTTCTATTAATCCATCCATAATTTTTTATTCATCCATCCACATATCCATAGTTTTTTCTATTAATTTATCCATACATCCATAGTTTTTCTATTCATCCATCCATCTGTACAACATCACATAATTACTTGCTCCATGCTCTTTTTTCTTTTTACTGAATCCTCCATCCATCTCTTACCTATTTCACAGTTCTTGCCCGAGTACCCTTCGGGACAGGCACAGTTATATTCATCCGGTTCAGAGTTCATGCAGGTCCCGCCGTTGACGCAGGGATGGTGCGTGCCGCAGTAGTTCAGATCTGTAAAGACACATAAAAAAATGAACTGGGGTACTTAAGGCCATGGGGAAAGAAATACTAACACTATATTCTGATTTTTTTTTAGCTTGCAAACATTTGCTCTTTAAATGAAAACAGTTGGCAGAAACTATTGCTGGGCACCCAGCAGGCCTTGTAAGGCGAGGCCGTGCACATAAAAGCTGGTAAATAAATAAAGAGAACTGTAGGCACCTCTCAGCTGCTTCTCATTCCTAACCACCTTCCAGGACGCACGCTGACCAACAGATCAGATATCCGAGCGCCACTCCAATCACAACCACAATATCCAGAGTGTGTGTTTGTACGTGCATTGTCACATTGCAGCCAACAAACCAGCTCAGTGTAAGATGCTGTAATTCTATTTAACACCACGATATGAATTTGCTGCCCTGGCACCTCCGTGGCTGGATGTTCACAGGCTTAACGTATTCATTCTGATCTAATGCTGACCATTTTATGGGTCAATTCCAGGTTGACCTCGATTTTTCGAAAACGAACTAGGTCAAACCTTCAGTATCAGTGTGTTTAGAACCCTTACCTTTATCGCAGAGGAGGCCGCCCCAGTTCTTCTCGCAAGTGCACTGCCAGGGCATGGCACAGGTCCCGTGCAAGCAGCCAGGGTACGGCAGACACTCGTCACAGAACTGGCCCTGCCAGCCATAGTTGCACCTGAAAACCACATAAGGGTGTTAACACTTAAAGGACCGAACCACCATGACATCTTAATGACAAACAGGAACAAACATACAGCTTCACATCGCTGTGCTGACACCTAATCTTACAAGGCAACATTCCGGGCGACAAAGGTTAAGAACACTTTCACGACCGCGCAGACACGCACTCCCCCCTTTGGGCGGTTTGGTCGCAGCCTGGGGGTGCAGAGGGGTTAACTAATCATTGGTTTATAGCAGCACTCAGTTATTCCAAGTAGAGGTCTTCAAGGGTCCACTTGGATCCGAGCGGGTTCGGGTCCAAAACTTCGACGAGTACCTCGGACACGGGTCGGGTTCGGTATTAGCGCCCTCGGGTCTCGGGTAATTTAAAATAAACATGCTTTTCCCAAATGGACACAATTAGACCCGAATTCTTTTAAACTATCCCGAATGTGTAGGTTACTTTCACTTTCATGTTAAGAGAGGAACGCACATAGAAAAGGAGCATAAGTTCGTAATCCTCGCACACAGACATCATCTTATATATATATATATATATGAGATCCATCAGGAAAATCCACTCGCTTCATTATGCTGCGTGTTCATGCAGGGCTTTTCTTTTTTGTGTGCAGAAGCCTTTCGCCGGAGATCAGGTTGCAGACCACAGCGAATCCATGATTAGGCTATCGATTTATTTTTTTATCAAACTATCACGTTTATTTTTCAAATCCACTGGTCACAATTGAAAGCGGAGCTCAGAAATACCTTGTATCCATCAGGCAGGCACTAATATAAAGTAACCTAATAATAAATTGAATAAATGTTAAATAAATCAAAGTAATTGAGAAGTGGCCAAATCGGTCAACAGGACACCGGGATTTTTCCTGACTGACTGCGGGGCTGCAGGCTGTACACACGTCAATGCCGTTTACGTTCGGGTCCAGTCGGGTTAGAAAATAAATGCCGTCGGGTCGTGTCGGACTCGGGTCTAATTTCATCGGGTCTGTCTCGGGTCGGGTTTTTCTTTAAAAAAAAATTGATTTATGCATGTCAGGTTCGGGTAAAAAGTGATTCGGGTCGGGTACAGATTTTAGGACCCGAGAAGACCTCTAATTCCAAGGCCAGTGGTGCGCTCTCTCCGTCCACCACCACACCCCTCACCCAGCTGTCTTGTCATTTCTGAGCAGGCTATTTTAAGACAGCTCTCCTGCAGAAGAGGTATGGCCTAACTCCAGCTGCCAAGTGGAGAGACGCTGTCTGCATATCTCGACCTCAGTGTCTTGAGGAGAGAAACGGCACAGACCTAACACTTACTAGCCTTACAAATAAGTACTGTGGTGGTACCATGGTAATACTACAGTACACTGAGAAAAAGACAGCACTGAATGATTATCTTATCAATTTACCATGAGATTCACATGGTATGCCCAGTAATAACATGTTTATTTATATATTAAAGTTCATATTTTCATGATACATAAAAAACAAGGGTAACACTTTACAAAAGTTAAGCATCAGTTAATGCAATAGGTATCATGAACTAACAATTAACACAATGTTTACAGCATTTATTAATCTTGGGTAGTGTTAATTTCTACATGTTAACTAATAATGTATTTTAAATATTCACATTCAATTAAATTAACATACTAAACTAAACTGAACTAAATGAATGAAAAGTGGACAATAATAATTTATAAATTAACTTATATTAATAAATGCTGTAAAAATATAAGTTAATTTATACATATAATATTTTAAGTTCATAATACATAGTACAGTTTAAGTTCATAATACATAAATGTAACAATACACCAGTTTGAATATCAAAAATGTTAATATTTAACATTAAAATAATATTAATATTATTAACATTAACATGTAGAAATACTACCCAAGATTTATAAATTCTATAAATGTATTGTTTGTTGTTAATGACCCTAAATGTTACCAAATTGAAGTATAATTATACTTCTTTTATCAGTTTAATATTCTAGTATTACATGCATTTACATTTCACATTTACATGTACATTTTTTTCTCCATTTATCAAAAGGTGATATCAATGCATGAATAAAAAAAATACAAATTAGGACCACAATGCCCAGCTCACAACTCCAAAAGCATTTAAGGTGAAAAGCAATGGTGTTTACTAACTAAATAAGGCAAATGTGCTCTTCAAGGAGGTGGGTGAAGTGGATTTGGCTACTGCACACACACCTGGCACATTCTCTGCATGGAGGCCTTGATCCAAATCCACTTTTAACATCTCCAATGCGGTCTCTGAAATAGCCCCCCAGATCTGTGCCCAAGAGGCAGGCCAGAGGCTGGATTACTTACACCAGAGCACACACAGCCTTGTGCTGCCCAGTAACAACCTTACTAGTATTGTATGAAAGAGCATGTAGGCAGCAGAGTGTGTGTGGGGAGTCTGAACCCTGCCTGAGCACGGGGGCGTTCAGCTCTGCCGAGCACTGCCAAACATAAGCTTGCTCACTAACTCAGAGAAAGAGAAAGTTGCATTGCACTTACTTTATGTGTCAGGACATGTCCATTACGACCATAAAAACACCTTAAACTTAAATCGCAAGTGCATTTATGTTTCATTTTGTTTTCACATTTGATTCCCAGCATGGGTTTGTAGAGGCTCCACAAAGTATTAGTGCAATAAAAGGGGTAGTTTACCCAAAAATGCTGACTTAAACATATTGGACTTCAACTGTGTAGACAAACTTTTGAAACAATCTTTTTTTGTGTTCTGTAGAAGAAAGTAATACAAGTTTGGAAAGACATGAGGGTGAGTAAATTATGACCATTTTAATTTTTGTGGTAAACTATGAATTATGCTAGATCTTTACATTTACTTTTAATCAATTGGTTCTTAGGATATATGAAAAATAAAACACTGATATGACACACTTTTGGCAAAAATGTCCCAACACTTGCCCCCCACTAATACATCTACTGGTTAATTGTCTGTGGCAACCTCAGTCCTGTAGTCTCCACCTCCTTCCTTCCAAGGACTATCAAGCTAGTGACGGCAGGGAAGCGAGTCACCACATCCTACAGGGGAGTGAGGCTTCCCAAATACTCAAATTCTGAAATAACAAATTGGCCTCAGCTTCCTAGCCCCGGTTCCAGAAACTCTTTCTTTCAGGCCATCAAGAAACTTGGGTTCATGATATCCTCATCTCCAGAGACGCTACTCTTGGCCTTTCTGATGCCTGAGGCAGAAAATACCCATGTCCTTCTGAAACCGCTCGGGTCTCAGAGAAGGTAAATGAGGGCAGAAGAATGAGGGCAGGTATCTGTGCTCCATAGTAGTAAGGGCTGGAAAACTGAAGCGTGAAGGGTCCTTAAGTGTCTGAATGATTTGTTGTTAAAAGATTCCAGTATGTCATCATCGTCTAGAGTGACTTCCTGGTTTAGACACCTCTGGATCTACTCATTCCCTGCCCTTAGACACTGAGGTTGTAGGTGGCATGAGCAAAAAGCTTTCCTCATCCCAAACACTAAGAGCTTTTCCTGTGGCAAAGGAAGAAGGCAGAGCTAAGCTACAGGAAAATACCGAGAGGAGAATGCGATGTGGGATGGTGAGGTGGATTTCACGCTGTGTTCCAACACAGGAAGCATCAGAATTTCCTGTGACAGTAAGAGCAAAATACCACCATTTGACATAATTATCATATGATGATAATGTACAAAAGGTATGTTGGGTCACTGCTTTGGGCAACTTTCCAAAAGTCCAATTCAAACCAGATTTTAAGAGTTTATAAAGAAAACTTATAAAGAGTCTTTGCAAAACACGTCATGTGTGTGGCTAGAGTGTTATGAGAGGTTAAAGTCTTCAGAAAGTTTTTAACTCACTGCTATGTGGTTGCTACAGTGTTTTGGGAGGTTTATATATCCCAATCCGAAGAACCCTAGATATGATTCAGGGCTCTCCCTTCAGTCCATTTTTTGCCAGTTGTCTCATCTGCCAGATGAAAACTGTACATTGGATTGCTTAGTGTAACAGGAATTACATACTGAAGGATAGGGATATTTCCCCCAAAATTAAAGTTTCATTAATTACTCACCCTTTTGAACCCATAAGACTTTCGTTCATCCTTGAAACACAAATGAAGATATTTTTAATGAAACCTGCAAGATTTTCTGTCCCTCTATTGAAAACCCATGCAGAAAAAAATATTGACGTTTTAAAAAGTAACAAAAAATAAATGTAAAACTAATCCATATGAATCCAGCAGTTTAATACAAATTTCTGAAGAGACACGATTGCTTTATATCATGAACAGATACAACAGGATGAACAGACCATGAACACACATACAAAGTGCTCAACCGCAGTTGTGTGACACTCAAAAACAAACCACACTGGTTCAAATATGATTAAAAGTCTTATGGGTTTAAGGTGACATGAGGGTGAGCAATTGATGACAGAATTTTCATTTTTGTGTTAACTAAAACCTTAGTATGAGCAACATTAATTTTGATGCCTTAATTCATTTCATCCCATCAAATGATAATAGATCACAACTTTTAAGCACTCCAGAGAAAGTATAGCGTGATCAAAAATGCATATCAAACAAAAACAGCTTGCACAAACAATGGCTTCAGTGCACTAATTAATTAATGGAAAGGTAAACAAATGAAAAGACCTTATCAGCATGAGCACATATGGCTCTGCTGAAATTAAGGAGCCAGATTAGCCCGGCCAACCGAGCATGAAATGATGCTCAAACACTTACTTGCATTCTCCAGGCACCGTACAGCCGCCGTGAATCAGATTACAGCCCTGCTTGCAGATTGCTGGGAGAGGAAAGGGAGAGAGGGAGGGAGGAGAGGTCAGTCTTGTTTGTTTGTGTTGCCTTACAAGAGCGACAAGATAAAATTAATCATGCTCGCTGTGACAGAAGACAACTTTATGGCCCGAACACACATACACGCTTGCCCCTTTCCGCCCCGTTACGCCCACCTACTCGTACCCTTGCTCATTAGGATGGTGGCTGGTGATTTACTGCCTTTTTTAGTGGGGTATATACACACATACGCACTCACAGCATCAAAACAGAGGTGTTTAGGTTGCCTGCAGTGGTCGGTTAAAGACATCAAAAACCCCAGCATCACTCAGATTAATTGAGCTAATGGAAAGTGTGACTCCAGGACTGCAGAGGTGTCGTTTACAACACAATCTCACCTCCAGGCAAAGGAGCAAAGACCACAGGCCTGTGAAAACACTGATAGCAGCAGGTCTTTTTACAGGGTGGTAAAGGGCAAGATTTAACAGGGTTTCTTTTTATATGCTTCAAGATATTAGCCAGCCCTAGTTCATCCTTCATGAAGGGCAACGGGGCTAATAACACTTGGCTAGATATTGAGGATACCAGATAAATCATTACCATTAAACCATCAAATGTAATCTTAAAATTAATCAAATTTTCTCTCATTTTTTTCATACTGTACATTTTGACGCTTTGATGCCTAAATTCACTTGTAGCGTTTTAAAAAACAGATTTTAGTGCAGTATTGTTATTGTTAACTAAGACAACAATTTTTTTGTTAATTGAAATAAAACAAAATATAAAACTTAGAAATATTACCTTGTCAACTTGTAACTGAAATAACACCAACACTTTAATATAGGGACTACTAACTAGTTGCTTGTTAACATGCCTATTATTAACATATTAGCTGTTTATTAGTACTTATATAAAGCACATATTCTGCATCTCTAATCCTACCCAATACCTAAACTTAACAACTACTTTACTAACTATTAAAGGGGTCATATGATGCAATTTCAAGTTTTCCTTTGTCTTTGGAGTGTTACAAGCTGTTCATGCATAGATAAGATCCCTAAAGTTGCAAAGACTAAAGTCTCAAACCCAAAGAGATATTCTTTATGAAAGTTAAGACTAGTCCACGCCCTCCTAAAATGCCTTGTTTAAACACGCCCCCACATTTGATAGATTGAAGATTTGCATAACACCGCCCAAATGTTCACGCAAAGAAAGAAGGCGTAACTTTTATTCTCGCTGTAGTATTGTTGTTGCCGCCGCCATGTCGTGGAGACGCTGTGTGTTTCATTGTGAAAGCGAAACCACTTTGTTTGGCCTTCAAAAAGAGGACGATATCCGCTTTGTCATGCCTAGAGCTGATCCGTGCTAGTCGCTGAGGAAATACATCAACTTCGCGCTGTGGATCGCCGGATCGGCTTTCACTGTGGACGAAGCGGAGTCCAGCCCGGGGTCGTCAAATGTGGTTGCCGCAAGCCCGCCGGCCGCACTGTTCTCAAGCCCGCCGGTCTTCGCTCACTCAAGCCCGCCGGCCGTGCCATTCTCAAGCCCGCCGTGTGTGACGCTGTGTGTTTCGCTGTAAAAGCTAAACTACTTTGTTTGGCCTTCCAAAAGAGGACACAACTAGAAATCAGTGGTTAAGTTGTATTTACAACACTGTTCCAGAACAGTTCAACCCAAATATTCAGATGTGTGCAGCGCATTTTATGGAGGACCTGTTTCCTGAACCTGCAGAGTAGCCTACAATGCGTCTGTGCACAAAGGCTGTTTCTATAAAGTGGGGCAGTTCCAACTTTGCAAGGACAGTCTGGCGTTTCTGACTATCAGCCTGTATGTATGTTTTCATATTTAAAGAATTTGCCACTGACGATTCAAACGCGAGTTTTGAGCAGTGCAGAGTAGCGCTTATTGTTTGTCGTTTCTCCGATCACAAATACAGACATGGTTTTATGTTTACGCGGTACGATATGCAATGCAATGCGTAAAAAGACCGTTAAGTCATTATAATCAGTAATTATGTCCCCACTGGATGCAGCAAATGCCTCGGTTGTAATGGGTTTTATTGGTGTCGTCTCATCGCGCCGGGACAGAGCATCACATTATGGTAAGGGACGTAACATTTCCGTCACACGCTTGAGGTATTCAGCCAAACACAACGCACTGGATAGCTGGCCAATCGGAGCACACTTCGCTTTTCAGAACGATGAGCATTGTAAAAATCGACGCGTTTCAGAAAGGCGGGGCATAGAGGAGCAACAATAATGTACATTATGTGGAAAATAATGTGTTTTTTGAACCTTAAACCGCATAAACATTGCATTACACCAAATACACAACATAATGTTCTTTAATAAGCAGCAAATTAGGAGTTTATCGAGGCAAAAGTCATAGTTAATGGTTTGTTAATCGTGAGAATTGGACCTTAAAATAAAGTGTGATCGAAATAACTACTAAAAGTACAACTTAAGTACTAGAATTACTAAAAGTGGCATTAAAATAAAGGTATATATAAATACAAAAGCACTAAATAGCCTAAAATTACAATAAAAACTAAAAATAAACATTTTTCAGCCATAAAATTACACTGCAATGGTAAGTACAAAATTCAGATAGTCAACATCATTCACCTGTCCGGCAGTCCTCTCCCATCCAGCCGTCTAGACATACAATATTTCCTGATGGATCGCAGTGGTAATGGCCAAAGTAGTCGTCTCTTGGCCGGCACTGTTTGTTGCACTTACTCCCATAGTAGTTCTCATCACATCTGACCCGGATGCGGTACTCAATGTGGGCCGTGATTCCGGGGTGCAGGATGGACTGCCAGTGGTCTCCGGGATTCACCATGCTGGCGTGAATGTGTCGCTCTATCAAATTCTCCTCGCCGACTGAAAAAAAAAAGAGAGAAGTAGACACAATTTATGTACTTTGAATGAAAAACTATATATTTGCAACAACGGTCATTAGAGATGTCAACTTGTAGTCCAACTAGTGACTATTTAATTACTTAAGATCTTTAATTACTAAATTTGATATTTTAGCTGTGATTAATTTAGAGTGTCTTTTTAGTCTGCTATTTGGTGCTAAAAAAAACTTTAAGTTAACAAAATAATAATAAACTTCAAGAACTCAAAACAATTATACAAAAATTAAGAAATAAAATGTCTAAAATGCAACTTACTCATTCCATTAATTCACATGTCTAAGACGGAGCTAAAACACAGTCACACAACCAGTACAATGTGATAACAAATGGGTGCATAGATCAGCTGTAAGACAAGAGACAGGACAGACCCTGATTTTAAGCTATAAACTCGCTAGTGACTCAGACGATCCTGTCCTTGCCAACTTCCTGTCTCACAAATCCATTCAGACAAATCACTGCACAACAAAGACACTCACACATGAATGACACCACTGACAAAACAAAGGGTTTTCAATCAGCTCTCGGTTAACCATCTGAAATCAAGTACTTTATTAAGTGATTATTACAGGTAATTTTGAACTTAAGTGTGAAATTTTGTCATGGACATGATGATACCTCAAATCAGGAGTGAGGAGAGGTGTGGTATTGCTTTTCTAAGTGACCAGACTTATGATTTTCAGTACACAGGCAATAAAATGGGCAAAAAAGACCAGAATATTATACAGACTTAGGGTTGGACCAGTAACCATCAAGCAACCATCCAGAACACCCTAGCAACAGCACTGACATGCCCTAAAATCACAATTTCTAGTGAGTTCTAGTCAAAATCTAGTTCTTCTAATAAAAACGTTGATGTCTGGCCAGAGGGAGGGGTGCGAGTTTGACTACTGTTACCAGGGAGATCTGGGCAAAAGCGGCAGGCAGAGGAAGCCACTGATCTTCATAGCCAACCACTTTCAACTCTTAGCCCTAGCTGTCCTTGAAGGACCTGGATCCCACCCTAGTCCTAATCATCAAGCACACTGTCCACCAGGACACGGACCCTCAACACGACAGTGAGAGCGGTTAGCATTCACATTAAGAGCTCAATTTTCCCAAGCTTTCCCAGCCTCTCTGCAAAGAAAGCAATCTTTATCGCAGTGGGATCGGAGACGGCGAACAATCACGGTGGAAATGGGGGGGGTCTGCGATTTCCTCTGTCCCGACGTGCAGAGCGCGTCCGCGTCTTTCTCCTCTTGCAAACACACATGCGGGCCGCACATACACATACCTTCCTCTCCGTCCTCTGACAATGTCGACCGAATTAAGCAACAAAAACAGAAATAGCCCTGGCGCTTCCAGATAAAGAACAATGGAGCAAGATTTTGCCGGCCCGTTCTGCCCAATGTTTAAACACTGGGCAGTCCAGAGCCCTTCCTGCAGAGTAAACACAATGCTACAGGACTTTTCCTGCGGCCTGCATAGCACTACCACGCACACGTACACATACGAACCGTTCTGACAGATGTAACAGAATTATTTAAAGTATCTATAAAAAATGCATGTCGGCTAATTCTGTCAGTTCAACTAGAATCCCAAGATGACGTGACGGATTGGGCAGGCCAAACTTTATTCGCCCCAGCGAAAGAGTGAGACATATTTTTTTTGTCCTTGGGTTTCTGACAGACAGACAAGGAGGCATGGGTACGTGTCCGGTTTAAGAAAAGAGGTGCGGCAGCTCAGAGCGTTCACACTGCATACTAAACAAGTAGTATCAAACGGCATTGGAGAGAGAAGGATGTACTGGCGCTTTTGTTGCCAAGCCTTGCGTGAGTACAGACTGCAGTACAGACCTTGGCAGCGTTCTCTCTCTATGACAAGATCATTAATATCTGGCACACCTCTGTACTATGGGCTCATATGATAAATGAAGCCACTGTCTCAAACAGAGCTCTGCCAAGTCATTGAGAGCGCTCCAGATCATCAAAGAGAGCTCATCAATTTCAAGCATTTCTAATCAATGGTCACTAGAGCTTACAGATGGTCTGGTGAAAACTTCTAGATTCATTTTTAAACTCTAAAGCTAATTTCAAAGAATTGTATGTATCCCAAGTAAATAACTTAATCATATTTTCTAATGTTTTCAATAATTTAATAAAATTACATTCTGACTGCAAATCAAGCACATTAAAGGGGTTATATGATGCGATTTAAATTTTTCCTTTCACTTTGAAGTGTTACAAGCTCTTGGTGCATAAAGAAGATCTGTAAAGTTGCAAAGACTAAAGTCTCAAATCCAAAGAGATATTCTTTATAAAAGTTAAGAGTCAACTACGCCTACCTAAAACGGCTTGTTCTAACACGCCCCCACATGTCTACGTCACGATGTGGGAAAATTTGCATAACGCTGCCCAAATGTTCACGCAAAGAAAGAAGACGTAACTTTTATTCTCGCTGTAGTATTGTTGCCGCTGCCGTCATGCCGTGGAGACTCTGTGTGTTTCGTTGTGAAAGCGAAACTACTTTGTTTGGCCTTCCAAAAGAGGACGATATCCGCTTCGTCATGCTTAGAGCTGATCCGTGCTGGTCGCTGAGGAAATACTTCAACTTCGCGCTGTGGATCGCCGGATCGGCTTTCACCGTGGACGAAGCGGAGTCCAGCCCAGAGTCGTCACATGTGGTTGCCGCATGCCCGCCGGCCGCTCCTTTGTCGAATCCGCTGGACGCGCCGTTCTCATACCCACCGTCCGTCGCTCACTCAGCACGCCGGTCTCCGCTCACTCTAGGCCGCTGCCACTCACTAAAGCCTGCCGTGTGTGATGCTGTGTTTCGTTGTGAAAGCGAAACTACTTTGTTTGG